GAGGAGGAGGAGGGTGAGAAGGAAGACGAAGCAGGCTCAGAAATGGGAGAGGGAGGAGTGGCCTCCTGCTTAATGCAGGAGAAATTCAGGACGAAGAGGACAGGGACTGCTGAAGAGGAGGAGGAGGAAGAGGAGGGAAGGTCTCTGGGGAGAAGAGGAAACCGGATGCTGAGGTGAGGGAGAGCAGGAAGGTGCGAGCCCGGTCTGAGCCCTGGTTCCCCACCGTCCTGTGAGCAGTGGAGTGAAAACAGCTCTGCTCTTGGCCAGTGACAGCGATTCCCTGAGGGGGCAGGGTGTGATCTGTGCAGGAGAAGTGGGGCTGTGCAGTTCTCCCCTGACCTTTCCGGCTCAGATTTATGTCTATTCGTGGTCAGCTTGAATGGAGAGAAAAATTTGCACTGACCTCCTCCATCCTGAAACTCTAGCAATTGACTGAGAATCTTAATTTCCTATTTGTTTTGGTACTGGGGATTGAACTTGGGTCCTTACTCTTACAAGGCAGGTGGTGGCGCCACTGAGCTAAATACCCGGCCCTAGTTCATGGAGTTTTGGGCAAGTGTTGCTCAGTAATGACTGTACTCCATGGATTTTGTGGTGACTGATAAGATTTTATCTTTGAAGGAAAGATCACTTACACTAAGTCCAGACATTCATGTGAGCGCTTCCTTGGGCTGCAGATCGGGACTTGCCAAGCGTTGTTTGTTTTGTTTCATTTTGTTTTTCCTGCGTACTCCATCTCCTCTCTCCGATTTCTGTGTGTGATCTCCCTCCCTTCCTCTTTCACTGTCCTATCCCTGTCTCTCCGCTCCCCCGCCTTTGTCATAAATGAAGATTGGGCAACTTGTGGACCCCCAGAGCACGCTTGTCTGGATTTTCAAAAGGTGAAAAGGAAGAAACTGGGAAGGCCAGGGACTTAGCTCAGGTACTGCGCCTGCCTTGCAAGCACAAGGCACTGAGTTTCATTCCTGGTGGTGGTGGGAGGGAGTTTTACTTACTGTGAATGTTTCTTGGCTGATAACAGGGCAGAATATCTTTAGGAGGACGGAGAAAAAAAGGAAGCCAGGGAAGCTTGTGGAGCTGGTACCAGTGTTTCTCTGCAGTCTGGGCAACTCCTGGTTAAGTAAATTGAAATTAGCTTCCCAGAGATTTGGATGCCAACCCTGTGAAGTGTTTATAGCTTCTCTGAGTAGAATTTGAATTACTATTCCCATTGTTTTAAAGCATTAGCAGATACCGTGCAGCAGGGGACTAGCTGAGAAACTCAGACAGAAGACTCTGGAACACGGAACACGGAACACGTGCAGATTCGCTTGAGTGCTGGGAGCTCAGCGAGTGTCTCCTGTCACACTTGAGAGCCCGGACAGAAGTGTGCTCCTCTTTGTCTACCTTTTCTCACATTTACGAGGCTTAATTCCATGGCAGTTTCCCTGGGAACAGAGCAAGCAGGATTCGCACAAAGCAGAGCAGTGCTGGGGCTGGGGAGCAAAGAGTCAGGCAGGAATTTCTGAGTCCACTGTGCTCCCTGGTGACAGATTCCAGAAGCTGTCACGGTTACTCAGGGGAGATCTGCAAGGAGCACAGTTGCCCAACTCCATACGGAGGGGTGGTTTCTTCTCTCAGTAACATCTTTGCGATATTTTGTGTAGTCGGAAGAATGTTCCAAAGTAAATCAGTGCTCCATCGGCAGACTGGTGAGGGCCGCCCCGCTGGGAATGGAGCTCGCGGCTCCCCCACCCCAACGCCCCGCGCCTCCATCGGACCAGACGTGAGAACCGCGGCCCAGCAGGAGCATCTGCAGCTTTCCCTCCCGCACCCCACCCCAGCGGTACCGGTACCTGGACCCGCACTGCAGAGGCACAGATGCTCACAAAGGCCATTTTCCTGAGCTCCAGAAGACAGAACGGAAGTGAACAACTGTGATAAAGGCACAGCAGACCTCCGCGGTGGGCACGTTGGGGGTCACCACCCCTATGTTCAGGGGAAGGGCAGCAGGAACCCGCGGACTTCAACCCGGCACCAGGTCAGAGATCTCAACTGGGGCCTCGCAGCCAGAATTCAGCCTGAATCTCAGGGGTCTGCCATCGGCTGGGAGCAACTGACTGACTTAGTTCTGCACATTGCAGGGCACTGTCACAGCAGAGACAGACCCCGAAAGACGCTCTTCAAATTTTTTTTCTTTCTTTTCCTTGTATTTTTAAATTTTTTATTATTTTATTTTTCCCATCCTGCAAATTCTTCCTTTGATCTCCCCCTTGTTCTCCCTCAGTCTCTTGCTCCCCAGTTTTGCTACATCTCCTTTTCTGTTCCTCTTCCTGCCCTAATTCAGATTTCGTCTTTTTCTTTTCTTCTCTCTTTCCTTCATGGGATTGTCATTAGTTTCAAAGGAAAGTGAGAACAGTTCATAGCTTCCCTCTTGCTGTTAGGTTGTTCTAGTCCTGTCTTTGCTCTTGCGCTCTGTCTTTCCCGCTTGTCTTCAACAGTCTCCGAGAGCTTGCGTGATCATCTGTGTCCTCTGGCTTCACTTGAAACCTTCTCCTACTCTTCCCCTGTCTATTCCTCTCCTCCCAGCTCCTTCTGCGTCCCCATCCTGAAGGGTAAAGTTCCTATATGGAAGAGTTTATTCACTATAAACATATTTTGGGGTGGTCCTTGGTTTTGATTTAATTCACATGGTTAAAGGGGATAGATCAGGAACTACCACAAAAAGTCCATTTCTAAACTGTGCCTGATGGTATTGTGTTGCTGATTGTATCAATTGGGCCAAAGGGTTGTGATTGATTTAATGAGTTGTCCTTTCTGATATTATGAAAATGAGAGTATCTCTGAGTCATTAGAGACTCAAAACCTAAAGAGCAGATATATTAGGAAGATCAAGGTACTAACCCAGGAATTAAACCAAGGACAGTCCAACAACAAAAATAAAAATGAGAAAACACTTAAGCAAGGCACAGATACAGACTTCCTGTTCACCAATGGCAAATTCCCAGAGAAACGAGGTGGGAAAGTCTGATAATGAACCACCAGATCACCCTGAACTCATAACACAGGAAGTAACAAAACAGATCGATCAGGCTCTAGAAAAATTCAAAACAGAAATAATTTCCCAGATAACTACAGAGATGGTGAACACAATGAAAGACACTGATTAGAAACTCAAGAACGGAAACTGACAAAAAAAATAGATGACCTCTGGAACGTGACAGAAGCCACGAACGCCCAGCATAGGAAAGAAATGGAAACAATGAATGCCCAATTTTGGAAAGAAATGGAATCCATAAAACAGATTCAAACAGATATGCAGAAGATTAAAGACTACTGAAAGCATTAGCAGCAGGATGAACAAATGTGAAGATAGGATTTTGGATACAGAAGATAAATTAGTCAGCGACCATGAGAAGAGAGATCTCTTAAAAATAAGGGATCAGCCCCTTGTGGTGGCACACACCTGTAATCCCAGCACTTGGGAGGCTGAGGCAGGAGGATCACTGTGAGTTTGAGACCCGCCTGGGCTACATAGTGAGTTCCAGCTCAGTCTCAACTACATAGTGAGACCCTGTCTCAAAAAGGAAAAAAAATAACTGGGTCTTGCAGTGTAATTCAGGGAAACCACCAGATCACTATATAGCACAGGCTGGCCTTGAACTCATGGTGATCCTCTTGCTATAGCCTCCTGAATGGTTGGGACTACAGGTGTGTCCCACCATGCCCAGCCTAAATAGTCCATTCCCAAAGAGGCCTCAAAATTAGCAGTAAAACTGAAACACAAAGAAGCAAAAACATCACAATGAATTCTGGGACAGGCCTGTGTGCCGCACACCCTGTCAGTCATGCCTGTCAGTCTTACCTAAAACCAGCGGGAGGCCCCTGGGCTGGGGTGCCCGTCCTCTAGATCCCCAAAGCCTAATTTATCTGTGTGCCATGGATCTGCTCTCCTGTCACCCAGCACTACTTCTCTGCTTGTGCCGTGTTTCCTGTTCCCACGGGCTTGCCCTGAGCACACCTCGTGCTGCTCAGTACCTGCAGCTCCTTTCCGTTTAATATCGGGCAGCACCTGCAGGGCCTGGCTTGGTGTACAGGAGCCTGGAGTCTACGGCGAGATTCATTCTGTAGTTGGAATGGACCTGTTGGGAGTTTTCAGTGTCCTCCTGAGTCTTCGTGGTGGGCTGTACTAACTTCCTTCCTCCCAGCAGGACATGAGTTCCCTTTTCTCTGCAGCACTGTCAGGTTCGATGCGTTTTGTCTCTTTGGTAATGGACATTCAGACTCGAGAGGAGTGAGATGCTGTGGGCTTCTCCTTCACATTTTTTTCCTGTTCACTGGCAATGTTGAACATTATTTCATAGCATTCCTGGCCATTTTTATTTCTATGCTAAGCAATGTCTATTTGGACCCTTTGGGCATTTTATCAGGATTAGTTACTGAAGTTGCTGCTGTTCATATTTCTACCTTTGCCTATGCACTGGACATTAACCCTGTGTGAAGTGAATGGTTTAGTTGTATTTCCTCCGATTCTATGTTCGGCCTCTCACTCTGTTGTCTGTATCACCCCAAGCAGGACGTTTCCAGTTTGATACAATCTCATGCAGATTGGTGTTGCTGGCAGAACCAAGGCCCAGTGTGGTTCTCCCAGCCAGAGGGGACCGGGATCTTTCTGGGTCTGCAGCTAGCACCACGGACGGTGACACAGGCACAGGCCTGACAGGTAAATGCCCTTTGCAGGTTTTGGGCCCCAGCAGTCTCACAACCTTTTGCCTGGATCCCAGAGCTCTGGCAAGGACTTCTGATTCTGGGCAGCTGCTAAGTGCTGTGGCTTTGGGAAGACGGGAGGCCCGATGTCCTACGGGAGCATCTCGCTAAAACCAACTCTCTTGCTGCTTAATTTGGACTTGCTCTAAACTAGGAACCAGATGTTACCCACGGTGTCCTTCCATCTTTAGGTCCACAGAGTAGAAAAGCAAGTGGGGTAGGAGAGGCTGAAAGAGGGGGAGGAGGCAGCACCCACATCAACAACAGAGGCAGGAATTCGTTTCCATTTCTGTACAGAAAGAATCCGCGCAGACTATTAAGGGGTCCACGGGAGCCGATCAAGGAGACTCCGGTGACTCAGTCACAGTGTGGCCAGCACACGCCTGGACTGCTGTCGGGGGGCGCTGGGGACCCCAGAACCTGGAAATGGACCCAGAAGTGCAGACCAGACCATTGACGAGGACAACCACATCCCTGGAGAAATTCAAGAAGCCACGAGATGGACAGGACCTGGGAATATAAAGATGTCGGCCGTGTAGAGAAATCCTCAGTTCTCCAAGTCTTCCGGCTTCAGTTTGCGTTTGCTGTGAACTCCCATGGGAGATGCGTGTTTTTCAAGTCCTTGTTGACCCTTTATCCGCAGATGTGCTCCTGAGGGACCTGAAAGTGTGGGCCGGGTACTACGTGGAAGAGTCAGCCAGGTGTGGTGGCCAATGCCTGTCAGTCCAGGAACTCAGGAGGCTGAAGGCAGATGGAAAAGTCGGGGCAGGAGGGAGAACTTAGCGAGGATCTGCGTCAAGAGAAAAATTAGACACTTCCAGGAAGGTGGCAGAGTAGTAAATAGCAACAACTCTACCTCTCCCGGATTGGAATGCAGGCACTGGAAAATAACAACTTGGGGAGGAAAAAAGGAGGGAAGTGGATCCCATGGACCCAGGAAGGGTGTGATGGGAGAATTGGAACCCACGGTGAACGTGAAGAGACAGAACACGATGCAGCAAAAGGACGGGCGAACTGCACTTTCTGCCCAGCCCTTGGATCACATTGTGAGAGAGGAGGAGGTGGGTGCCTCAAGTCCACGTGACTGTGTGACCCCTGGAGAGGGGCCTTGGTCAGTGCCACTTAGGGGAGTGGCCAAGTGAACCTGGGATCAGAGCAGAGGTAAGGTGGCTTCATCTCAGGGCTGCCAGTGTTGAAATCCCACAGTGACTGGGTGAGGGACAACTGTGGAGACGTCCATGGTCACAGAGCCATGGTCAGGCCAGTAAGGGGCACCCAGAGTGTTGTGGGCTGAACAACTCAGGCCCTAAGCCCACAACCAGAGCCCAGAACCAGCCTGAACTTCTGTGGAGATAAGAGCACCAGG